TTTAATAATGATAAATTTCTATAATCGTCATACCAAACGAATTTTTTACCAATTCTGAATCAAAAGGGTGTGAAAAGAATTAAAATTCACCAGTAAATGGCCAAGTTATAAGCGTTTATAACCTAACAATATTTCGTTATCAATTTTTTTTGATTTGCACTCCAGTATAGTTCACAAAGACGTAGTACTACATCAAAAAATACAAAATCCTAAATAGATGATTTTTTGCAAAAAAGTGATTAATTACTCTTTACTTACTTACTTATCCTGGTCCGGCATCCCTCAGGATTGCACCTGCATCACAATGTTACGCCAATTCACTCGGTCCGTGGCTGCTTTTCTTCAATTTCTTGACAGTCCCACACTTCCAAGATCCTGCTGCACTTGGTCTAACTACGTTGCTCGCTGTACTCCCAACAATCAATACGAAACTAACGATTTTAAATTGGCTCACCACTTTAGTAGCCTATTGGTCCCAAGCAAACAATTAACGTACCCTATTCTAGTTGAAATTCTATTACTACACTATGTTTGTTTTGATTCGCTATGAAAGTTTGACAGATAACATCAGGGGTGTGTGGATTCATGCAGAACATGCAGGGGTGAGTGATTGGGATTGGGACTGCTTGGGACCGTTGTTCTGGTACTGAGTGAGCCAAAAATAATAATGATTTTCTTCGGGACCCAGTGGTCTTAGAGTTACCTCTATGGTACTCCTCTTCGTCTTGTACCGGCCGGATTCGAGGCAAACACCATTTTTGCGGGATTGTTGTCCGGCATTCTTAAAACTTGTCCCACCCATCGTACCCGTCCAGATTTCGCAACTTTCTGGATACAGGGTTCCGTTCACCATAGAGTTGCGCCAGCTCGTGATTCATCCTTCGCCTCCATACACCGTTCTCACATACCCCGCTAAAGATGGTCCTAAGCACTCGTCGTTCAAAAACATCCAGTGCTTGCAGGTCCTCCTCGAGCATCGTCCACGTTTCGTGCCCGTAGAAAACTACCGGTCTTATCAGTGTCTTGTGCAAGGTACATTTAGTACGGAGGTGAAGTTTACCCGACCTCAGGGCCTTGTGGAGTCCGTAGTAAGCATGACTTCTGGCAATAATACGCCGACGAATTTCTCTGCTGCAGTTGTTATCCGACGTCACCAATGATCCGAGGTACACAAATTCATCCACCACCTCGAACTCATCTCCGTCGATTGTCACGCTTCTGCCTATGCGAGCCCTATCCCGCTCGGTTCCTCCAGCTAACAGATACGTTGTCTTCGACGTATTCACCATCAATCCAACCTTCTCTGCTTCACGTTTCAGCCTGGTGTACTGCTCCGCCACGGCCTGAAACGTTCTTCCGACAATGTCCACGTCGTCAGCGAAGCAGATGAACTGGCTAGACTTATTGAAGATCGTTCCCCGCATGTTAAAGCCCGCACGTTGCGTAACATCTTCTAGCGCAATGTTGAACAGGAGGCAGGAAAGACCATCGCCTTTGCGAGTTTCAAACGAGTCCGATAACGCACTCAATATCTTTACGCAGCACTGTACACCATCCATCGTAGCCCTGATCAGTCTGGTCAGCTTCCCGGGAAAACCGTTCTCGTCCATAATCTTCCATAGCTCTTCACGGTCAATAGTATCAAAAGTGGCCTTAGGGACTCGATATTCACGACACTTTTGGAGGATCTGCCGCAACGTGAATATTTGGTCCGTTGTCGATCACCCGTCCACAAATCCGGCTTGATAACTTCCCACAAATTTGCTTGCTAGCGACGATAAACGGCGAAAGATGATCTGGGAAAGCACTTTGTAGGCCGCGTTAAGAATAGTGATCGCTCGATAGCTCTCACATTCTAGTTTGTCGCCTTTTTTTTATATACTGGGCATATTACTCCCTCTTTCCACTCCTCCGGTAGCTGTTGTGTATCCCAGATCCTGACTACCCAAGTAACAGTTCAAGCTGAACATTAAGAACAGAAGCTGATTATTGGTTGATATAATTAAGGTGTACAAAGCTGATTAACATCAGGCTGAATATATAGTTGATTAGTAGTGCATGAAGCGAATTGTATCCCCATAATCCAACCTCAATAGGTTAGTTGATCCAAAGATTGAACAAGCCTTATTTAAGCTTAACACAACTCCACAAATCAGCAATGCGTTACACATATTTTGATAGCTTGATTTATTAAATGTCGTCAGTGTCTGTGTCACTCGTTGCATGTCCGGCATTTTAGTTCTACTAAATTCACTGCCTACCTTTCTAATCACAAGCTGTGGCAGCAGTAGAGACAAGGATAAGGAGATTTTTAGGAATAGTTCCAGGTACTTCTGTGTTTTGACTGTTCACCACTTTATATTGCACTGAATTTTCAGACCGAATTCCAAAAATATTACTCAATTTTGGCTCTAAAATAGCACCCAAATCATCAAAATAAATCGCGTGCTTGTGTCACATTGTGCTAAGTGCACTTGAAAATGAGAGGAATTTTTAACTGTCACCAGTTGTTGTTTACAATTCTGCATTGCTGTATAATACTCTTCCGGTTGCTGTTATTCAACTTAAATTTGACGTGCTTGAAGTTAATGATCATACCTTTTACCACACAAATGCCTAAATGGTCCAGTAGGTATGGTAGACGCCTATGAATCAGCGACTGCCGGTTCGAATTCCGAAATGCATAGGTAATTTTTAGACTTATATTAACAATATAAATATGGTAATCCAATTAGTCAGCAACAAGTTAAAGCATGGAACTGCTCTAAATGCATAATATATGAAACGGTCTGCCATTATTATTTTTGAAATAAAACTAGAAGTCTGAACAAGGGTTGGAAAAGACTGTTATGTATTACCTTTAAAAGCTTATAATGTACATTACTGTTAAGCTTTTGGCTGATTAAAATCACCAGATTTAGATGTTTAAAAGCTGGACAAAGGTTAACGTGGTCTATGTACAGCAATTATTCAATCTAAGGCTGAATTGAAATCGATTAATCAACAATTGTTAAGCATCACATTTTTACCTGGGTATCAGTCGGTGCAGACAAGTGGCCAACTTATCCGGGCCAATTTTGATAAGTTCTGCTCCGATACCATCTTTCCCAGCTGTTTTGTTGTTCTTAAGCTGTCGGATAGCATCCTTAACTTCACCTATCGTGGTAGCTGGCATGCTGCCACCTTTCAATCACCTCACGTTCGTCCGTTAAGATACCCCCTCCTTATCCCGACACGCGCTGCGTTCTTCTCGTCCAAAACCGTCTGACACTCTTCGTCGAACCAATCGTTCCGTCGATTCCGCTCCACGAACCCAACGGCGCCTTCAGCAGCGCTGTTAATGGCTGCTTTCACGTTGCTCCAGCAGTCCTCAAGAGGGGTTTCGGTGAGCTCTCACTCATCCGGCAACGCTGCGTCGAGGCATTGCACGTACTCAGTTGCGACTTCCGGCAGCTTCAGTCGCTCCAGATTGTACAGTGGCGGGTGTCGGTATCGAATGTTGTTGGCAACGGAAAGTTTTTGGCGCACCTTGACCATTAGAAGGTAGTGGTCCGAATCGATATTTGCACCACGATAGGTCCTGACGTCGATAATGTCCGAGAAGTGCCTTCCGTCGATCAAAACGTGGTCGATTTGCAATTCTGTAAGCTGCGGCGATCTCCAGGTGTACCGATATGGGAGCCATGTTCTTAGAGGTGGCGAATAATTACTCATAACAAACAATTATGCAAAGTTTCAATCAGTTCGGAGAAGGTCGATTCGTCATTTGGCCTTAAACTGGCCATAACCATTATATGACTAGTGTTGGTTGTATAGCAGTTTACTCAACATAATTCTATGAATTTTGTTTAACTTGGGAATTATACGTAGAACACTAATGTGTATAATAAAAATGGAATGAAACCACAGTATTTAACTGAACACGTAACAGATGCAAGACTACCGAATTTTACAAAAACAAGCACGAAGAATTCACTGTTCTTTAGAGGATTTCAGTTGTTTAACCGTTTGCTGAGGGAGGTAAAGCTCGAGACGAATCTTAAGAGATTGACAGATTGACACAATAGCATCAAGAACAACATGTGAAAAGGGCATACAAGCTTATTATGCCCTTTTCTCGCCAAGAGATGAACTAGCCTCAGGCTAAAAATCTCTATAATAAAGAAAAAAAAAAAAAAAAACCTTTTCTCGCCACCCACATGACACACACACGCAAACCATCAACATCATCGGATAGGGGGAACATTCCCCTTCACGATGATGATGTTGGTTTGCGTGGGCGATCCTCGGTTAGTTTACAAAAAGCTTGTATGCCCTTTTCACATGTGGTTCTTGACATGATGACTACGATTCAATCAAAATATCAAAAAGATAACTCGTCTTGTAAGCCTCCCATGCTCAAACAAAGCGTATGGGGTGGTGGTGGGACTAGATAGGCCCAAAGGTACCATCATGAAAAAAATAACGAAAAAAGTACTTATCTTGAGAATTATCAACTCACTAGTTGCTTGCGGCCTACCTTAGCTTAATCGGAAAAGGCGCAGCTATGAAGCAAGACCATACTGGAGGTGGCTGGGTTCAATTCCCAGTCCGGTCTAGGAATTTTTCGAATTGGACAAAGAGTATGATTGTTCTTCCCACAAAACTATACTAATGCAAAAATAGTACAGACTTAGTAAGCTCTCAATTAACAACTGTGGATGTGTTCAAGGAACTCTAAGTTCAGAGCCGGTGTAATGTCCCACTGGGGCCGTAATAAAGCCAAAGAAGAAGAAGTTGTTTGAATCTGTGTGATTGGAATTTTCATAGCTATTGATTTAAAAGTCGTAGAATCTTATTATGACAATTTTACCACCAAAATATGAAAACAATAAAGATACAATGATGCACTATGGTTACGACACGATGCGATGTATTGTTTGAAGTGTATAATAAATCAATCCATCATCCAAGCGAAAACAAAAAACCACTAGATTGTAATTTTATCGAAACTCGCTTACCTTCATCAGAGCGAATCTTTCATCGTCTTGCAATGCTGGCGCTTTCGAAGCCATCGTTCGTTTGTTGGCGAGCACTTTCAACTGTGTATGTTGTTGATATGCCTGTATGTTCCTACCGATATGACGGCAATGCAGGCAGGATGATGACGATGGCAGCAGAAGTCGATCCGATCCAGACGCAATATATTTAAATAAGAAAGTTGATGAACACACGATTATCAAACAAATAAGCACAAGGTAGAGGGGGTTAGAGAGCACAATGCGGCCCTTATCGGTCAGGTAGGTGCACTTGATTGCATTTGATTCTGTTTCTCCCGATTCAAACTGTCACCCACCACACATAATAAGTTTCAGACTGCTCGCCGTTCGGTTGCGACTTTGATGGAACCCAACAATTCCGTTGTTACCGTTCGAACACATGCACTTGATAAGGCGATTTATCAGGTTTTCTTCTTTGTACACTTCTTTGGTTGAAACATTTTATGATTGGAAATAAGGTGATTCGATTCTGATTACAAATATAATACTCGCGTTATCGCTGTTGCACTTTGGACGATTAGTCGATGATTGGGCAAATTTCGTTTTCGTGTTAGGCGCTGTGAACGATTTCAACGAGAATCCATGCGATTTATTTCACCAGATTTGAAAATCATAAAAATCGCACCTTGACCACTGCTGCGCGAATTATTAGCTAATTGGTTGGCAGGAAAAAGTCCGCGTAGTAGAAAACAGCAGTAAAAAACAAAAACAAGGTAAACCAGAGCGCTATGCGTAATAGTGCAGGTTATTGTTGAAAAAAAGAGTGGTAGCAAGCAAGACTGCTGCTAACCGACAAGACACTGTAATAAACCTGAAGTAAAAAAGTTCACCAAGCCAGTAAAGTAAAAAAGAGAAATTCCAAAACCGTCACAGTCTGCGTTCAATGAATTGTGTGTAGGTACACTATGTTATTGCTCTTCCGATGTCCATTCACTGTTAATGAATTATTAATTTTGTAAATACGATAAGCCGTACCGTGATTTGTATTGATTGTCGCGTGTTGACTAGCTTTTTTCCCCTTTATTCCGATTCGAAAGTATAATAAACACAAAAGTAGCCAGAAGAGCTACCGCAGAAAGGTATGAACTTATACGAGAAGCCACCACCGACCGATACGACTTCCGTCCGTCGTCGTTCGAGTATCGCTCAAGACTGGTCGCCTTCAGCAATGAGGCGCTAGTTGAACGCCCCAGCCAGCACACCTGAGATTGCGAAGCGACGACGGCGTAGTAAGGGGTGGATGTAAATTGGTTGATGCTAGTTATTTGTACACGTCTATGATTAATCCTGCTGGGCGTTTAGTGAATATCAGTTAACTGATGAAAATGTTGGAATGTTTTCTCAATAGTAGATTAATTCTAGATAAAATCTCCAACAACCGGTTAGCTTGGCATTTTATTTTGCTCAGCAAAATATCTATTTGTTAGATGAGATCTCAATAATATTCTAAGGGGCCATCCATTAAATTTTATAGTTACTATGGGAAAAAAATACTTTCGGCTCCGAAAAGTTTTTTTAGGACAGTTAAGGCTCCCATATAAACGAATTGAAAGAAAAAAATGATGATACAATGTCAAAATCTACCTATCTAATCATTTTCAGATTATTATGAATATTAAATATATAAAATTTAGTACAGAATAATAAAATTTGTGTACTTATGACTATTATTTGTAAAAACTCTTCTAAACCATCAAATAATGAGAATTATTGAATCAATTTTCCGTTGTCGATAAAGACATATGTATCAACTTTAAAAGTAGAGAAAATGTGTGTGTTTGTGTATGTGTTATATTTTGACGTAGAACTACGTCTTTGTCGACTATACTGGGGTACAAATAAAAAAAATATGTGTGGTGAAATAGTGTTAGGTTTCGAACGCTTGTCACTTTGTCATTTATAGATGAAACTAAAATCCAAATACGCCAATCGAAAGGATATTACTTAACAAATCTGCTGAAATAAATACTACCTTATCACTGTTTTCATGAACTAAACGTTTTCCCCAAACCCAGTCATCATAACCGAATATACCACTTGGTTGCACATCATTCTGCTTGAATTTGAAAAGATATAAAACAAACAGCGCTGCTTTCCTTACTCTGCTCACCTGTGGCATTCCAGGAGCTGAGCTCGGACCACTACCCTGTGGTGGCCGAAGTTGGATCCTCGGTTAGCCGATTCGAAGCTTCCCGGCGCAACTACCATCGAGTCAACTGGGCGCAATATCAACACTGCGTCGACACAACCATCGACTACGATGTCCAACCGGGGAGGTCCTAAGATGTTGACCGGTGTCTTCAAACCATCGAGGAGGCGATTTCCCGGGCCAGGAAACAACACGTGCCAGTATCCAGACAGGTGAGTAACACTCTGAACCTTGACAGCCCTACCAAAGATATCATTAGACTCCGTAACACCATTCGTAGGCAGTACCAGCGTACTGGCTGGCCTAACTTGAAGTGGATCTCAGAAATAACGATTTTGCTAGTAAGATCCGCTCTCTCCCAGATTGTGCTAAGCCCTTCTGGAAACTTACAAAAATTCTTAAAAACAAGCCAAGGTCCATTCCCGGCGACCCAGTGGTTCATCTGATAACTCCTGAAGAGAAGGCTGCCACGATAGGTCAACACTTCGTCAGCTCCCATAATCTCGGACAAAACATCGTCAGCCCTCATGAATCTGAGGTTGCTGAAAATGCAACCAATTTTCTTCAGATTCCTAACATTTTCCCAGAGGAATCCGAGATTACGGCTGACGAACTGTTGGCCTATATCAAATCATCTAAAAACATGAAGGCCCCAGGTTTCGACAACATCCTGAATCTGGAACTCAAACACTTGAGTTCCAGAATCTACAACCATCTGGCACTGATTTTTAGTCAGTGCCTCAGACTTGGCTACTTCCCCTCGTGTTGGAAGTCAGCTAAAGTCATACCCATCCGGAAACCTGGGAAGGATCCGTCCTCTCCTTCAAGTTATCGACCAATCAGCCTTCTCTCAGGGTTATCAAAACTGTTCGAAAGAGCAGTGTACCACCGGCTCCTAACCCTAACATCTGCCGATGAAAACAACTTGTTACTCGAGGAACAGTTTGGTTTTCGGAAAGGTCGTTCGACCGTCCACCAACTGACTCGAGTAACAAACATTCTCAGACGGAACAAGTCTGTTTCGAAAACATCTGCCATGGCGTTGTAGGACGTTGAAAAAGCATTCGACAATGTCTGGCATGATGGCCTGGTGTTCAAATTGCAACAGTACGGTCTTCCAATCTTCCTAGTGAAGATAATAAACAACTATCTATCACACAGGACGTTTCGTGTCTCTCTGAATGGCATCACATCGGATGCTTTCAACATCGGTGCCGGGGTTCCACAAGGAAGCATCCTTGGCCCCATCCTATTCAACCTGTTTACCTCCTAAATGCCGGCTCTCCCTGATGGTGGATCGTTGTCTCTGTTCGCAGATGACACATCCATCGTCTACAAGGGTAGGGTCATCGGAGCTCTGACTGCCAAAATTCAGAGAGGCCTGGACGTCCTGTCTGAATATTTCAACAGCTGGAAGATCCGTATCAACGCGGCAAAGACCCAGGTCATTATCTTTCCACACTATAAATCTCCTAGACTTGTTCGGTCGGTGAATAATAAGATCTGCCTGAACGGTACAGTGGTGGAATGGTCCAAAGAGGTCGTGTACCTCGGGCTAACACTAGACAGCAAGCTTTTTTTCAGAGAGCACGTTGACAAAACGAAAACCAAGTGCAACATCTTGATAAGATCGTTGTATCCACTTATCAACAGGAAGTCAACCCTTTCCCTGAAAAATAAGCTTGCTGTCTAGAAACAAATCATCCTTCCTGTAATCGAGTACGGTATGCCAATCTGGGAGAGTTGCGCTAAATGCCATCACCTTAAACTCCAAAGGATCCAGAACAAGATCCTTAGGATGGTCCTAAACAGTCCCCCGCGGACTAGAAATTCTAAGATCCACCTCCTGGCTGTAATTCAGACATTAGAAGAACGGAGAGTATTCATCCTGGAAAGGTTCAGATACACCTGTCTGAGATCAAATCATCAGATCATACGTGATCTAGCACGTTAGGTTAAGTTATACTCGTAGTTAGGTAGGTTATCACTTTTTTCAATTCAAATAAAACACATCCCCAAAGGGGTATTCTGTAAACTAGTTGAAAAAAGAAAATATTAAATTAGAATATCAAATTAAACAAAGATGAAGAGCCAGGTAGGCTAATCAATTGAAATGATAAATCAATGTACTACCACTACTTACTCTGCTCATTACCACTTCGGACGGCGTGGCACTAAGTCCTAGGCAGGACCAAGTCAGCGGCTAAAGGTGGACACATAACATATGTGGAACTTCATGCAAAATAGCTGGCTAAAATTTGATCCCTTTTTTGTGTTGCCTCAGTGGTGGTATAACTGGCATACACTGAGCGAATTTACCATGTCGTCATTGCATGATTAATCATTCAGAGCTATCCGATTTCTTTAACATCGAAAATAATATGAGATACCCGATTGACTAATAATTGACATTAAATGGGATGATTCATCATACATATCATAAAAGGAAATAACATCAACCACTTAATGAAGTACCGTTCAAATTTTGAAAGGTAAAGGGTGATACGGTCAAAATTTGGTCAATATCAACTTGACGTATTTCTTTCAATTTTGCATTTAAAAAACCTGAACACCCCTCTTTTTGAAGGTGTGTGTGTGTAGAATGTTGCTCCTATTTTGATTTTGGAATTCACTCTTCAGTTGTCAAAATGCCGTCCAAGCAAGAAGAGCAGCGTATCAAAATTTTGCTCGCGCATCGCGAAAATCCGAGCTACTCGCACGCAAAGTTGGCAAAATCGCTAAAAGTTGCCAAATCAACCGTTACAAATGTAATTAAAGTGTTTGGGGAACGTTTGTCGACAGCCAGGAAGTCTGGATCGGGGGGAAATCGAAAACCGGAAGCCGCTGAGACGACAAAGAGAGTTGCCGGTAGTTTCAAGCGAAACCCTAACCTCTTTTTCCGAGATGCCTCAAATAAGCTGGGTGTATCGTCTACAACCGTGCATCGAGCCAAACAACGAGCCGGACTATCGACTAACAAGAAGGTAGTGACTCCAAATCGCGATGATAAACAAAATACGACGGCCAAAGCGCGATCCCGGAGACTGTACACGACGATGCTGACGAAGTTTGACTGCGTGGTAATGGACGACGAAACCTACGTCAAAGCCGACTACAAGCAGCTTCCGGGACAGGAGTTTTATACGGCAAAAGGAAGGGGAAAGGTAGCAGATGTTTTCAAGCACATGAAACTGTCAAAGTTCGCAAAGAAATATCTGGTTTGGCAAGCCATCTGTACCTGTGGCTTGAAAAGCAACATTTTCATAGCTTTCGGGACTGTCAACCAAGAAATTTACGTGAACGAGTGTTTGAATAAACGTCTGCTGCCTTTCCTGAAGAAACACGGTTGTTCCGTACTGTTTTGGCCGGATTTGGCATCTTGCCATTACGGTAAAAAGGCCATGGAGTGGTACGCCGCCAACAACGTGCAGGTGGTTCCCAAGGACAAGAACCCTCCCAACACGCCAGAGCTCCGCCCAATTGAGAAATACTGGGCTATTGTCAAGCGGAACCTAAAGAAGACCAAAAAAACTGCTAAGGGCGAGCAGCAGTTCAAGGCAAACTGGCTTTCTGCGGCGAAGAAGGTGGACAAGGTGGCTGTACAAAATCTGATGGCAGGGGTCAAGCGTAAGGCCCGGCAATTCGGATTTGGAAAAGCGGAAGCCTAACTGAATATTTTTCCTGAATTTTATACTAATTGAACTTGAAAAAGAAATTTAATTTGATTTTTTAAATAAACGATTTCACCGATTTACACGCGTTTTCCCTTGACCAAATTTTGACCGTATCACCCTTTATTAACAATAAATGAATTCAATAGCATAAATGAACTAAAATCATCCAAGTGAACCCCATAACGAAAATCATACAACTGTCATTGCGATTCATTTTCATATCGTTTCAGTCTCCCATTGCGTTTTGGCCTTGCAATTTTTTCGCA